TCTCATTGAATTTCCAGTTCTTTTATGGTACAACATTTGCATAATAATAGTAGCTTATAACTTTGACGAATCTTATTGGATTTCAATTCTTTAGCAGTACAAAAGTTTCGAGAAAATTTCGTCTCCCTATACTGACAAGTTTTAATCATTTTCAGAATACATCTACTTGTTACAATGTTTAAACGCTTACAAAAATATCTTTGTACGTGTTTAAAGGAAAAGTCTTTTTTGTAATCCATTATATTGATACAAGCAAATCAGTTTAAAACTTCATTATACAATCCTTTGAAAGATTAATTAATTTTGTATTGGAATTTAAGAGATCTTTTAAATACATTATTTCGAGCTAGTTAGAACCATATATAAATAATTATTCTGTAAAAGTAGTATAAATGAGCTGCGCAGAGCATTTATTGTAAATGGCCAATTTGCCAGCTTTGAATGTTTTAAAAAATTATTGTCGTAATTAGCCAATTTACGAAGTAATTAATCGCACGTTCGATTAGGTAGCGCAACAAAATTCAAATTAGCATAATTTTCAATTTGTCTCAACGGCTCGGTTAGCTAAACAGCATTATGATTTTCGCATTCTACAGCTATTTTATGATGCATTTGATAAAATGAACAGAAAACACTGTTTGTTAGCTTGAGTCATGTCGATCGAGATAAAACAATAAACAATGGGATCCAAACAGAGCAAACAATTATCCTGAAATTAAAGTAACTGCTTGAATCATAGTAATAGTTAACGATCTGATTTTGACGTCTTCAATCCGAGCAGTGAATATTTGAATATTCAATGATTGACTCGTCGATAGAATAAGTCATATATAGGCAGGGATAAACAAGTTGTTTAGACGTCTGCAAATAAACTAGAATTAAAATTCGGTTATTCGAACGCGCGGCGGGGTCGATGTGATTCTACCCCTATGCACAAACACAACAGCAGCGAGAGCGAGGGTAGCTTATTACGTGAATAAGAGCGCATTACTCGAAATGAAAAGACTCGGTCTCGCGCGACGTGAAATACTTACGAGACTGCGCAAAAATGGCATAAAACTTCCATAAAATGATACTTGCCGGTTCATGAAATATATAGGCCGCGCGGGCGCGCGTGAGCGATAATATCGTTCTCGTAAAAAAGAGAAAGAGAGAGAAAAAAGAAGGTAGGTGGGTTGTAGGTATATATAAGCTCGCGTTTACTTGCTTGGGCCACTATCGCACGAGGGCACGAGCGAAAATAATAGCGTACTTACCTTATTATAATGTGTACCTGCGCCGCCACCGCCCATGGTCTGGGCTTATATGTATTCTCTCCGACTAGCTCGGGGCTCCTCGCTGCACTGGCACGTCGTAAAGTGCAACACTTCGTTCATTGTACACCAGGCCAGAGCCGAGCTGCAATTATCCGAGTAAATTTTTCCTCCGAATGTTATACGTGAAAACCCATCGGACGTGTAATGTATACGCATCTGTGTGTATAGGGATACGAAGCGAAGGGAAAAAAAAATTTATTACAAAAAAATACGATAATAACAATAATGATTGATATTGGGTGCGCATCGGCCTCATACAATATAGACATATGTCGCGCATAAATACACGTATCTCACATAAATTTCGAGTTCCCGGCGTACAAAAGGCGCGACTATGGCACTGCTGCCGCTGCTGCACTGCTCAGGCTTTCATACACGTAATCGAGTGTCTCGCTGTGTGCGTGAGAATATGCTCTGTATGCGCGATGCGTAACGCCAAGTGCGGGCGGCCTCATACCTATATATATGTATGGTGCACTATATATACAGTAGTATAGTAGGGTGCGGATAAGAGAAATGTATTATCTAGCGCCTCGTGGCGCGCAGCTCGGTGCGGAGCCCGCGCTACACTTTCATGTATTATAGAGACATAGCCTAGGATGAAAAAGAAGCGCCTGGGGTGACATTTAACGCTTTGCCGAGGGATGAAGGTCTGAAAGTGACGCTCTTAATTTGGTCGTAACGCCGCGTCGCCGCCGCCACCACCACCACTGCCGCCGCCACTACCTACTCAGGCATTGCCACTATACTACCGCCGCCGCCGCCGACACCGCAAGCACGTGAGATGCAATTCGACGGAGCAACGACGAATATAATTCATGAGACTAGTCGTGCGTAAACCCGTGTATCCACTCAGTGGCTGACAAATGACTAATTGAAAAAATCCTACATGTTTTTTTCATCATATATAACGTCGAGTTCCAAGTCAATTTTCGGCGAATATTATAAGCGTGTTGCTATTTTGCTGCTGCTGCTGTTGCTTTGAGGCAAATTGCTCATAAATCTGGAGTGTTATACGTCGAGCGGCGCAACGAGAGAGGTCACAAAGTGTAAACGATAAATTATTTAGTGCCACCGAGAGAGAAAGAGAGAGAAAAAAAAACAGAAAAAAATTAAGCAGATTTATTAGCCATTATTATCGCTGAACTTTGGTAATTCATTCGTCGCGGGTGGGCATTCCGTGTGTGTGTCGCATTTACGCATAATAATGCGCGCGCCTTCGAAGCGATAATCTGCACCTTTGTGCGCGATGTAATCTCTAGACTATTTCGTGTATATAATAGCGAGGTGGCTGTAAAAAAAAAAAAAGGAAAGAGACACATGGCCCAGCGCCTATATTACATTATGGCGAAAGAACTCGCAGCCCCTCGATGGCAGCAAATCCCACAGGGCCGAAATGCTTAATTCCAGCAAAAGAAGTTCGTTACTGGTAAAATTGACGTCGCAAAGGGTTGGATTTAGTCTCGCTTTGATTCAAGGTATCCAGCTATGTATGCGGATCTACGGCCCTCGTTCCGCACGTCTGCGCATCCGCAGCCAGCGAGCGTGCACGGATTTATACGCTCATCTTTTGGCCTAGCGTATATAGTCGTACTGTGCTCGCACACGCGAATCGCTTTCATATACCTATATATGGACACATACCGCGGTACGTAGGTTTGAAGATGAGACTTTGGACGAATGTGACTCGCCCCCCGTGGAACAACGTAAACAACGACCTATACACGGACTGTAGACACGCTGCAACGGTATAAACATCGAGAACAACAACAGCCAGTACTAGTGGCAGCAGCAACAATAATACTATACTACGGGCTGAGCAGGCTGTCGACGCGGCGAGCTCCCAGTAATGCTAATCTCAAAGTTCAAAACTCTCTCAGAGAGCTTACAAACAGACGGACAGAGAGAGAGTAGAGACAGGGATGGGGATAAAAGACAGAGAAAGAGAGAGAGAAAGACATGACGCGCATAGGCGGATGCAGAAAGGCAATTAATCCAGGAGCCACCAGTGGCTTGTAGCCTCTCTTCTTCCTCTCTCTCTCTCTCCCAACGAGACGAGAACGACGTTTCTAGATGTGTAAAGCTCGCTCTACGCAAGCACGTAGCAGTAGTAGCAGTAGCCGTAGTAGTAGTAGTAGTAGTGGAACTGCTGGCGCTGCGTCGTCGGCAACTCGTTATATTCACGAAAAGGGAATTTTTGCCGACTTGATCGTATTATACGAGGCGCGTCGACTCAAAAGGACTTTATATTCTCGACGTCGTTGTTGTGGGCCAATGGATATAGCTATATCGCGCGTTCGCAAGCTCGCACAGAGCAAGCTGTGGAAAGGAGGCACAAGGGAGCGAAGGGCTTACCCCTCGCGTAAGCGCGTACGTACTCTATACAGTCCGTTTGTCGAATTCCAATGATGAGAAAGTTGATCCTCGAGAATTAATTCAATGGAGAGTCGAGAGAGAGAGAGAGGCAAGAGGTCTGACTGCGAATACCGAGAGCTCGTTAAGAGGATAATCAATTTCTTATGTATACGACGGATACGTACATACGTACTGTATAGCTATACACGTGTAAGCCGGGCTTTGCTCTCGCAGCTTCGGCATTATATCGGCGGAATATCGGCCCGCAGCTCGTACGACGACGGCGACGACGACGACGCGCATATACTAATTTATATACACAATGAGGGTGCGAAACTCTCTTGAGGGGCTGCGCTCTACCTATATATACCCGAACAATACTCATCGCTACACAGTATCGCCGAGGATGGATAGGCCAGGATACCGCAGCTATTCTCTCTCTATATATGTGGCCGTTCGAAACTCACTTATTCATCACCTATCTCTCTCTCTCCCTCTATCTCTCGGCTCGAGCGCGCACAACGGGGGCCGATAATAATACCCTCCAAGCTGCCAAATTACATATTTATTGTTTCATTTAGCGAATCTTCGCCCACCGACCTAGCTATAGCTCGGTCGAGGCGTACTACATGTAACATCCCTCCTCGATATCTATCATCGTCCTCCAGCTCGACCGATAGACGCGTGATTTTCGTTATCGGATCCAGACGATATATTACTCCTCCCCCGCCGTGTGTGTGTTTGTTTTTAATTCGAGATTTGGACTAGTAGGACGAGGGAACACCCCCGACTACCTGTGCCGCGCGCCGAGTCATGATTCACGCCCGTAGTTGTCTCGCGCAACCTACACCTCCCTATGCACTGCCGGATTCATGCGGACGATAACAATCATAATAACAATGACGACGAAGTCGAGGGGAAAAATCGATTAGCCGATTTTTCCTGTATTGTCCTACTGTTGCCCGGGCGCGAAAGTCCTTTTCGTGATTATCTTCGACCGATGATGATACTGAAACAAGACTGAAATATATTTCGAACGAGCTGGTTGGATTCCATTTTTCGTGAAAAATTGATGTAGCGATGAAATTACTTACCATAATAAAATTGCATAACTTTAAATCTTGACGAAATTATATTTTTTCATACGTGTATCGTGAGCGGTTACAAAAAATATCTACAATTACGATTTTTCCCCCCATAGCCACGTCGGTAACTTATCGACACGAAAAATTGCCGAGCGAGACTTGGCTGTGTCGTTTCGCTGCTAGAGGGCCAGGCCTCGGCTCGTCGCTGTCGTCAGTCATCATAATATTACGTCTGCTCCGCCAAACGACAAGTGCGCTTTGTTGACAAATCCTTCGTGTTTATAGTTTTAAGTAATTTTAAATAATAAAAAAATCGCCATGCTGCGCTCGAGCCTTCAGTTGCTGCGTTCTTCGTTGCCGTTTCCAAATACATCGAGCGTAAACGGTGTCGTTGCCAATCCTCTTGCGTTGCATTCGAGATGTATGCATTTAACCTCGAATTTATTCGCCGAAAGAAGAGATTTGAGAACTTACAGAATGACAATGCCAAGTAAAGATCAAACTCTCCATGGTGAGAACTCTATTGAAATTGACAGTGTCAAGGACAAGTAAGTCTCTTTTTCCTTACAACTGTAGTTTTTGGATGAATGAATTGATTTATTTATGTCAATATTTTGTAGGAAAGGTATGTTTCCGGATAAAGATACCCCCAACAGAGTATTCGATGGTGTTTTATTCAAAGAACTTCCCATTTTCAACATCAAGGCTTGTAAAAATAACACAATCATAACGATGTCAGATTTTAAAGGTAGGCATTTATTTTTTATAATATAAACTTGTGTTCAAGTAATAACTTATATGATGCTGTTACATGATTTGATAGCTTTTATACTGGATACTTAATATTAATGCGTAAATGTATTTACCATCAATCCAAATGTTTCAATATATTGATTACAAATACATTAACATAAGTTGTAACTCTCTGGCTTATATCAATAATTCTATTCACAGGAAATGTTCATTTAACCAAATCTTGTGGTACTTGTGGTTTCAAAACAGCGAAGAAAGCTACAAATATTGCTGCTCAAACTACTGCTATCACCATCAGTACTGTGAGTAAACTTAAAATTTCAATAGTTTTATTTTTCTTTAACGCACTATTTTTTGATTTTAGAAAGCACTAGGAGAATTAGGCGTGAGAACCGCAAGAGTGAGAGTACAAGGTATTGGTCCAGGCAGAATGGTAAGTAGATGTTTATAAAATTATGCATTTACGTACTTGACAAAATTATTGACAATTTATATAAACTTTCAGGCTGCAATTAAAGGCCTACAAATGGGAGGAATCAACATAGTTTGTATCACAGATAACACTCATGTATCATGGGCTCCTCCACGGGCAAGAAAACAAAGACGAGTTTAAGCAATCTGTTATCATTATACGAAGTATTTTCTACAAGTGTACATGTTGTTATATTATAAGTTTATTATCGGAAATAAATCTACAAGATTTATTGAGTTAAAATTATTAATGATCATTGATGAGGGAAATGCAGCGTTGCCCAAGCGGTTCCATTGATGTCATTTGTGAAGACGCTACATTATTCATGAAGAGCAAATGAGCAGCTTGGCCGTTCATAGCTCATAGAACGGACTAGATCGTCGAATGATCGAGCATTGCAAGCTCGTCATCATTATTGGTTAGAGAGTAATAAGTACATTACCCATAGTCGCAGATTAACACGCATACGCGTACATGAACGTAGTCCGTGTGCGCGAGTGCGGTAGCAGCGTGGAGCATTGTGTAAACGCGCGCACAGAGAGATATGCAGAGAGGAAGGCTTGCGCGTGTGCTAGGTTTATGCGACTCTTGGGAGTATTTCCCGGTAGCCCGTATAGCGCTAGTTCTCGGCACGATGCAAGCTGCAATTAACTGTCATTGCGTTCGGCTATAAAGTCGCAGGGCGAATTTATACCCTGCAGCATGCACACGCACACTAGGGCATGTGTATCCGCGATACATTGCAGGCGCGCTGGATACGAGAGGAAAAGAGAGAGCGAGCGAGAGGGTGGATGGGTGGGAGCTACCAAACATATATATAAACCTGCATTTACACATACAGCTCGTTAAGCCGCTACATATTGGCGAGATAGCGCAGATTAATTAGTTGATAAAACGGGCGTATAGCGTATAATATGGATTACATGGACGCGCGGGCACGGCCGCACCACAGTACGGCCACCGTCGAGGACGCGCTTTATTGTGTGTCGCTGCAGCAGCAGCAGCAGTTCGTATACGCGCTCGCATTACAATCGAGTAAAAATGGAAATATACAATGTGTACGTGTTTGCGACGGATCCGCGGCTCCGCGTGCGTCGTGTCCTCGCACACGCGCAGCTAACTCTGTATGCGAATCTCTCTGGCCGCCCGATTGACGCATCGAATTTCAATGAAGCTTAGAAAGATTAGGCTTTATATGCCGTGCGTTCGTTATATTTATCTAGTTACTGACTAGATGTTTCGCATTCAAATGTTTTACTTTTATTTCATTTACTCTTTGCTAATTGTAATACTTAAATTGTAAAAATCACAGTCTCGTTCTTTCTCTCGATATGTCGGTGTTAGTTGAATGTCCGACGAGAAAATCTCAATTAATGGCAGAGTAATCACCCTCCGCGTAGATTTTTAACGATCCAAGGCACGAACTCCGATACTCTGGTGTAGATTCCGGGTAGCCTCTTCCTGGCGCATCCAATACCAGACGAGACGATTCCTATAACTATGATCTTATTGTCGCTCGAGTACATGAGTGGACCTCCGCTGTCGGCCTGCGCAAGAATCGGTAGAGAGAGAGAGAGAGAGAAAAAAAATTGATTAATAATCCGACGAAGCAATTATAATTCCAATCAGCGGCGAGTGTATATCATTATGTACACGCGCTGGTGGTGGTGGAAGCGTATATATTATATAGGTCTGTGTGTGTGTTTGCAATCTCCCCTCGCTTCGAGCTCGTTAATAACAGTCGAGCGAGCAAAGATCAATTAAAAGAAAAGAAATATACTGCATGAGACAACGTGAGAGAGTTTAGCAGGGGCAGCGCCGTGGATTAACATTAAAGAAAAGAAATGAAGTGAGAGAGGGAGGGAGAGAATAAAAAGAAAAGCGGTGACCCGAATAAAAAATCCTGCTTACCGTGCGCGCGCGGATGTCGGTGTAAAATGAAGCATGAAAGCGCCAGCACGAGTTTGAAACAAAAAACCACTGCAGTTGTGCGTTTGAAATTCTAATTACTTATGCTCTTGCATGTGTGTGCAGTGTGTGTTTGCGTATGTATGAGTGGTTAAAATCTCAAAGCTCGGGCTGCAGCAGGTAGCGACAGGAGGAGCGCGTGTAAAAATTGGCGCCTGTGCTGGCCACGCCGTCGTAAATGTGTCAAGTAGAGCAGCGAGGCAAAAAAAAAAAAAAAAAAAAAGAATGGAAAAAAAGGTAAAACAATGCAGGGAACACGCACGATGCAATATAACACGTACCCCACAAGCATCCCTGCCTCCGAACTCGTGTCCGGCGCACATCTGACCGTATTTCACGCGGAACGATTTGCCTTGGCTGGCGTACCACTGGCTGCACATTCGGTCCTCGATGACATTGACGTCGACTTTTTGCAGGATCGACGCTTTGCCGGCTACAAAGTTACGTGCATTTTTTATCGGTTACTTCTTTTTTTTTTTTTTTTTTCGATCCACTCGATGCAACACCTACCTGTGGCCATGTCCTCGCCGAGCCATCCCCATCCAGCGGCCACGGCGGGCTCGCCCTCGAACGATCTCGGCGCGTCGGACGCGGGCAGACAGGCCGGCTTCACGCTGTCCGACCAGAGGATCCTCGAGCTGAGCTCAAGCAGAGCGATGTCGTTGCTCCACTTACCGCACTCGAAGTCCTCGTGTACGATGAGGCGATCGACGCCGCTGCTCAGCGACCTCGGCTCCTCGGGGGCCTGCAGGTCGTGCTCCCCGAGCGTGATTCTCAGCTGCTTGACCGGCATCATGGCGTTTCTCCTGCGCGTTAGAGAGAAACAGAAAAAAAAAACGATTGAGAATAGCGAGTATTTAAGTGAAATTGCACTGATGAGATAAGGAGTTTAGGCGGGGGTGATTGTTCGCAATTAGGAGCCTAAAAGTAAAATGAATATTTCATCAAGGACTACGAGGCAGGACTGCAACGGCAGGGGCCATAGACTCAAATGACTTTCGGTCGAGCAGAGCTTTATTAACGCGAGTCGGAGTTGGCGAGATTTTTGCGACGCGACCGGAAGAGATTTCCAAGTGAGCCGGGGCTGGCCGCACGAGAGATGTGTAAATACCATTCCCAAGAAAATCCTACGGTCCTACATAGATATACAGCTGCTGCGGGCGTAGTATATTATATACACACGCCGCAGCTTTAGCTCTTATGCGCTCTTTAACGTGGGCCATGACGAGAGAGCGAGAGAGAGCCAAGGAGTCTCCAGAATAAAAGAGTAATTAATTCAAAGTTTTATTCTCTCTGTAGTCCTTTTCTGCGGCGCGTGACTCTCTCCGTGCAGCAGCAGCAGCAGTACCTACCACCGACAATCTCGGCGCGGCCGCGCTCGCTGTTTAACTACGCGTCGCTTATTTCATCGGTAGATTTGTTCTCAGCTTAAAAGTTCATTTTGCAAATGAGTCTTGTCCCGGTGTACGAGTGTGGGCGGGTGTGTGGCCCATGAATTAACGCGCGCGCTAGAAAGTAGAACGCGCCCAGTGGGACAAAGATTAATGAAAAAGGAAGAAGAAAAAAGAAGGCAAAATTATCACGCATAATATGAAAAAAAAAGTCTTTATTGAAAGGGATGATAATGACGCGCGCGCGCGCTTGAGCTATGGTTTTGTGGGAATTGCGCGGCGCTTCTTTACAGCGCGAAAGGTACAAACGTGTGACGTACACATGCCGCGAGTGTACGTGTGTGTGTGTGTGGGTGTATGTGTTCTTTACAAAGATGAAGCCTTAATGGGGCCTAGAAGACTTTACAGAGCTAAAGTATAAGTAAAGAGAGCCTCGAGGCGACTCGCTCGCGAGCTAGAGCTGCTTCGACGTTACGCGCGCGCACTTACGCTTATACTCTATAAAACTCCTTTCGCCTAGCTGCAGCAGCAGCGGCAATACGAGCTGCTCTCCGCGCGCCAGAGGTCTAGCCTCTTTTGTTCACGGATTACACGCTTATACTTATGTGCGAGGGAGTGAGAAATTACTTTTCTTTCTTTTTTTTTTCTCTCCTTTTTTTCCTCCTTCTATTTTTAGTTAGGAGAGAGAGAGAGAGAGAGAAGGATAGAGTGGGTGAGTGAAATTGCTCGAGACACCCATTACTGCGGTAGAGAGAAACTCAACTTTTTTAAATATGCGCACCAGTTCTCGCGAGGGCCAGCCCTCTGACCAACTTTTTTACCTTCTCTCTTCTGCCCTCTCTTTTGTCTCTTCTTCGTTCGCGTTTGGTCGTTCTCTCCCCCAGCTCGTTCGTTTCGTTCTCTCTCACTACTCTCTTTCCCTCTTTACCATACCTACTTCTTTTTTAATTGCTTCGCACTGCTGCTGCTGCTGCCGCTGCAGCGCGAGCTTTGACGACAAGTGACGACACCGCTGAAATTTCATTTGTGCGGTCGCGTTCGGTGTTTTGCCCTGTTTAAGCGTTCCGCCGCCGAGCTTTTACCCGGGGCTGCAAGTGTACCGGGCAAAAATGTCATTCGTTCAACGATCATTAGCGATTTTTTCTTCTCGACGTCAATTATAATGCGCGGCGCACTCAATTTGTTAGCAAGTAGCGCGCCACCTGCCTCGTACAGCGTGTGCCTGTTTTCAAAATTCATTTTCAATCGCGCCGTTCCTTTAATGTGTGCGTGCCCTGTGCATCGGCTCGTTGGGGCCATTAGTCGGCGAGTAACAGAGAAAGAGAGAGAGAGAGAGAGAGAGAGCGAGAGCGTATTACTACTCGAGCAGCGTTTAGACTCCTAGGCAGGCCATTCGTAATTTATCTATAAACGAGCACTGCTATGTAGACGTACTATATGCGGCGGTATGTGTATGCGTGCGGCACGGAGTAATCAGAGCCGCTGCGCAATCGGGCCATAGGTGACAAAGTACAAAGCAGCGGAGGAGAAAGCTCGAATAAGAGCCCACCCAACCCCCTTTGCCCCTTTCCGAATCATCCGGCGTACAAATCACCGAGCACACCGTCGACGTTTAATCATATACTCCCAAAGGTGCAAGTGTATATTCGTAGGCGCGTTTACGTGTACGCTCTATGGTGTGCTGTATGTGTGTATTAGAGACTTCCGTGTGCGGCAAATTAATTAACGAGGCCTCCGCGATGAGAGAAAAAAACTTGAAGCGCAGCGACTGCTGCGCTTCATCGAGCTTTTTGTCGATTTTCGAATGCTCTATTTTCGCCTTCGACGGCTATAATTCGAACACCTATTTCGTGCACGTGACTTTTCGCAAGCATAAAGGAATAATAATAATAACAATAATGACTCGCGGGCAAGCTTCGTAGCGTACGTTCGACCGAGCTCGCTCGCGTCTTCTGTTACGGTCATTTAAACGAGTTGAAATAATAATAAAGTAAATTTATGACGGCGGTCAGTTCATCACAGCGCGATAAAATATCCGCGCGCAAGCTCGAACCGTGTATAATAATAATCCATGCGATGCGCATTGCGAGTTGCGACCTGCACATCTTTCAGCGCGAGCTTGCACGATTCAACTTTAATATCGGATAATTTCGAGCATTAGCCACGCTTCAAAGGCTTGCTGAAAACATTTTCATCCCCCGCGTGCCCTTCTCGCTCTCTCTCTCTCTCTCTCTCTCTCTCTCTTTCGCGCTGTCTTTGAAATGAACAAGCGTGGTATATCCACGTGATATACCGAAAATGGTGACAATGTAGAAATACATGCACGTGCCGCGCTGCCGCTACGGCTGCTTCGGTTACGTCAAACGTGAACAGCCGATCTGTGCACGCATGGATGCATGCGGTCGAGCTCGCATTATAATATACATACGCGCGGGGCGCCTATGTGCCAGCAGCGTATGGTCAGTCTCGTGGAAAAAGGCCTGCGAATGAAAGGAAATTGATGCGGGATGCTTCATCGATATTCAGACGCGCGGATGAGCGCATCACCCCTCGTACCCATCCACACACACGTAAACACAGACACACGTCTACTCGATAGTGTAACGTGCACGCATATATAATATACATCGCCGACGAGCTGATGATGGGGAGGTTGCATCAGTCTACATATAGGTATATGTGTTATATGCTGGCACAGAGAAGGCGCGCGCAATTTATCGTGTAAATTACGTATAGCCTCGATCCGCGCCTACATATATGCATGCACGCCGAAGGATTTACGCCGCTGAAATTAAGCAAATTGCATGCGATCTCGTGAGATTTGGCTCTCTCTATCCCACTCCCTCTTGCTCTCGGTCAGCATTGATAATTCACCGATAGAGAGAGAGAGAATTTCGCTGCCGGATAGCGGTGTACTCGGGTGGCTCGAAATGTGCCGCGCGACGCGTCGAGCAATGACGGTGTCCGCGCGCAGCGAGCGAGCCGCGGAACTGCTCGCAGCGCTCGAAACTGGCCATAGCCGTACAATGCGTACGACGTAAAACACCGAATCGAACGATTTTCCGCCTCGGTGGTAGATATGCGCAACGATATATAAATATAGGCGGGTAAAATCGACGCGATATCTTGGACTTTCATTTATTACGTATGCAAAGCTCGACGCGCTCACCTATATAGCGAGATCGTGAGCTGTAATGGCGTAGATGTGTGTAGGTATGCGCGCAAGCTCGCCTATGGCCAACTAGTCACAGGGTCTAATGCAAACTAACCGATGTTCAATGATGCAAAATTATGCGCCCGCACATACGACTACACGAGGTCATATAGAGCGAGCTGCAACAACCACGAGTAACGTAGCTGCAGTCCAGCCGAGTGCATGTAATTCCGTACAGCGCCCCGCGTGCTTATACTCCGCGCCACGAGCTTTTGCCGGATACCCGCGCGCAAATCGTATAGTTATTTATACGTAATAAGACTGCAACGAGGCTGATGAGGCAATGTAAACGCATATAATATAAACCATAAACGCTGCACGTGTGCGCGCAACCTAGTCGAATAATTAATAATAATCGCCCGGTCGAACGCGCAAAGTAATGCACGCGGAATATCTTTTGTACGTGTACGATGTTTGACCCGCGATATTATACACATGCCACGGCCTACAATTATATAATTGCAAACTCACGAGCAGAAGCAGTGAGCGGCCGTCAATACGAATTTCGAATTGATTATGCTGCCGCCGCAGAAGTGTCCGCCTTTGCGAGTGATGCTCACGAGCCAGGGAAATTCGCGGGGCACTGCGTTCTCGCCACCGACTATCCGAGCCTGACGCTCGGTTTGAGCGTTGAAACTGCTGCTGCTGCTGCTGCCACAACTCACGTCGGACACTGCAAAAACGATAAATGTATTACACTCACGTAAGCATCGATTACATATGTGGCTTATTTTACGGTAAATCCAGTTGCTAAATATTTTATGTAAAAATGTAAGTTGTTACTCCAAAACACATTACTCCAAATTTTATTAGAATTTTCAGGACCCTCAAACACCTTCTTGCAAAAGCTCACAATTGGTATTTTTCCGGAATACATGCTCATTGTTAATATTTGAAAAATTTTTTGTTTGGTCATTCGATTACGCAGAGAATGCCGTATATATCGATAAACCAAAGCCATTTAATGTTTAGACAAACTTGTCGCGTTCGAGTTAGAAACAGAAGTAGAGGAGGATATCCCGTGTACAAAGAAACATCTCTTGCGCACGTGTGTGCACATACACGCGAATAAAAAAACTTTCTTCACCCTCTGCTTGTACATGTGTGTGTGAGTGTGTGTTATATATGCGAGAGAGCTCAAGAAATGAACGCAGCGCGTGTACACACACGTTTATATACGTGTATAAAAATAATGGACGAGCCGAGCGATATGTACACGTGCTTGCAGCACGGCTTGCTTCGTATACTACGTAGTGTAGGTGCAATAAAGCGCGATAAAACTTTAAATTGGACAAGTTGGAAAAGTCCTCGCGCCCCCGACTGCTTATGTGTTTTCAGCACATATCTTCGAGGCCGTATGTGTTTACAGATGCGCAGCGACAGCGTCAGCTGTACACATGTCTATAGGTGCTGCAGCAGCATCCGCATGCGTACACGGAGTGTCAGGCGAGGAAGAACGAAAAGAGTAATTGCATTTATTTCGCATAAAAGAGAGCTAGCACCCGCACACGCGCTTTTATCTCTCGGCGCTGGGGTATATGTATTTAACGACGTCGAGCATGATAATCGAATGAAGCTCCCAAGCGAAGTGTACGCGCGTCTTTTCTCGAAATTGACTACGCGTCGTATTGCGTCAGTACATCTGCTCGTGTAGTGTATTGTTATTCACTCTGCACCTATAGATAATGCCGGGGAACAATTACTTCGACAGCTCATCGATTCCCTAATGAGACGTCAACGCGATCGTCGTTTTTACTTGCGGTCATCGACTGCGTGGAACAATATAGGAGAAAGTGGACACCCGAGAAAATTCGTAGACTTTTCTAGTGAGCAATACAAAAAAAGTCGCTAATTATTCGACGGAACGACGTATTTTATATTGATATCTAATTTTTACCCAAGCAGCTTTACTTTGATCAGTAATACGGTGCAATAATAAAAATGTAATATCTTTAGTAAGTGTTATACAAACCGCGGTAACAGTTATAAGTGTTGAAACGAGAGATGTAGTTTGTGAAATTTATTTAATGAATTAATATGGTGCATTGATCACTAAACTATATGTAGAATGCATGAAAAATTCAGTCACATGAGTTTGCAATAGTTGTCAGTTGCCACTTGCAACACAACTAATAAAGATAGAAAATTACAAGAGAAGTTCATATAGCCACACGAAAAAACAATTCTTCGTACATTTAGATTGAATTTTTTTAAAAATATTAGTTTACTGAAACTGTGAACAATACGTTGTGTAAAGTCGAAAAAAAATGAGGACGTGCCAGCCGCAGAGGATAATAATATAGTATATTGCTGCCCTAGACCGCGAAGAAAAGAACAGGTTGACGATAGGCTTGTTCAAATTCGAAAAATAAATGCAATGAGACCTTCTTCGTAGAGGATAATTATAAAATCTTTGCAGCTTGAATTTTCTAGAATTTTCTTATTTCTGTCCATGACTGTTACGGTTCTCGCTCAAATCAGGCTAGTCGCGAACACGAAGCTTTTGTACAAAAATGGGAGTCTTTTGATGAGATTGAGAATTTCTATATTTTAGTCTTGAATTTGATGGTGATCCTTACAACAGCTTGACAAAAGGCTAGTTCAAAATCGAAAAAAATATACAATCGACCTCGTGTTGACTATTATTATCTTTTATTTATGAAACTTTTAGGTGTTCAAATTTATTCAATAACTTGATATTTTTTTTTACATAAAGTGATGCTTAATTTTTCAATCAAGCACGTTTATATAAATACACAATAATCGAAACACGCGAATTTAGTAGATTCGTCATAGTTCGTAAACATTAATTGAATGGACTGAAAATTCGTTGCTTTACGCATAAGTCAGCACATGATTCGTCTGCTCCGCCTGAGAGAGAGAAAGAGAGAGATTACGCAGAGATGAGATAATTTGACGTTAATGAGTTACTAAATGCTAATTAGTAAAAACGAAAATTCATAATCAAGAATTCCAATGCTATGCTAAAGCGTGTATTTCTCGCCGTGGACATACGTATTACATTCCCATACGCGCTTTGATGTATAGATCTAGCCGGTACGCCCGGTCTCAGCTAAAACGAGTGCGCGGTCCGTTGTTACATTTTCAATTCAGACCTTACTCCACGTCCTGTGTTTTTTTTTTTGTTCATTTGCACGTGTGTAAACCGCGCAGTGCGAAACGCAGCGAGAGGGAGACTTTTGTGCTCCCTTGTATGTACAGTGTACGCGTGTACAGTCGGTTGTATCGGAGGGTCGTAGACAAAGCTTGCATCAATCGGATTAATTATTTTGCAACGTTGAACCGGTGCGCACGCGGATAGCTGGATCTCTCGACGGAGGAGCCGCCGAGTGTGCCGACAAACAGAAACCGAACGAAGAAAAAAAAAGAAGCGGGATGAAAAAATCAAACGAAGAATAAGTTGTTCAGATTGTTCAAAGAGAAACGCGAGCGAAATGTTCGACTCTCTTCGTATAGTATACGGAATACACGTACTATAGACATTCTGCAGTGCTGCAGCTCTAGGCTTGGCGCAGGAGAAAAGGTCATCGAAACTTTCGCCTTGCGCGCGCTGGAATGTTGAACGATTTATTTGCCCGTGGAACGTGTGTGCGTGTATGCAAAGCTACACGCGGCATGCAGCAGCTCCGAGCGAAACGAGACACAAGAAAAGCCGAGGGCAAAAAATCGATCGCGCGCGGCAAACGTATGCCCAAAGTCGAGCGAGCTCGGGAAAGTTCCGGATTAGTCCGTCGTTTGTACAGAGTCCAGTGTGGTATACACAGTCTCTCTCGCTGCAACAGCAGCTGATTTAGATCCTGTGTATATCCTCTGGACTTCGTTCCGCGCTGTGTTTTTATATCCTTTCCTCGCTGCTGCTGCCACTGCGGCAGCAAACTTGATTCGTCATTCAATTGACTGTGTGTACTGCACTCCTTTGTGCGCTTGCCCTGCCGCCAGCTGCTCAGCCTGTGACGAGCTTTTATCGTCGAGCTTTTTCATCCTTGGAAATTTTTCCACCAAAAAAATATATGTATATAAACATTATTTCAGCTCGCAGCTCGGAAGCAATCGAGTGGGGGAGGAAAATAAATTCATCGTCGATGCCAAGCACGCTGATGACTGGCAGAAGTCAAAGTTTAGTTGCGCTCGAAGTTTCGGAACTAACGAGCTTTTTCCTCGTTTGTATATATGTTTTATATACGTGTAGCCATCGCAAACGAATCGGTAAACTGCGAGTCTGTCTTTCTCTCTTCCTCTCGCAATTGGACTCGCAATTTCCAACTTGACTTTTCGACCATATATATATATACGTATACGCACCCATACAGGCTATAGTAATCGGTTTCTGGTCAAGACGATAACGCGAATTTAATACCACTACAGTGGAGGTTCTCGTCGCGCGCACGCTGGATATATCTGACAGTGCGAGCGCGAAATTCAACGTTTCACGCCCTCCACGACGACGAGGCTCTGATTAATTAACCGCAGCTATCGTACAGAGAGAGAAGCACACACACACACATATACACTTACGCACAGACTACTTGCGTATACGTGTCTGTGTGTGTGTGCGGGCACGTATATAGTAGCTATCCCCATGGCCGAAGGTAATAGATATGCCAGAAGCAGCAGCAGTAGCATCATGAGCAGTTTCTCTCACTGCCCGCGCGCGTCTGGCGTCTATATGGGTAGTACGAATGTTCGAGTGCAGGACGCGCGAAGTTGACACCGGTATGGGCCTGCAACATTATGGATGGAGTTGCATCGAGCTTCACCTGTATAGTATATAGCACACACGTGCACCAAGTATACACAGGTACGTATGTGGTGTACGCGTGCAATATATGACTGCATTATAGACGTAGCACACCTGCGGAATTGACTCTAGCTATTGATTGCAATTCAGATACACACAAGGGTTTCGCACGCGCACTTGGTTCACGTATGCACTCGCGCTGGATGCTGCTACTGCTGCACACCAACTGATGCACAGGTGTACGCTTCCTCGTATGCGCATATATCTATACAGATAGGTGGTATGCACAAGGCTTTGTTAGTTCGTCAAATGATTAAGTTCGTGATGTCAGTCGTTGATGCACTTCTCGATAGGCAGCGACGCTAGTTCGGAGCACATACGTTACCTACTTATGCTCGATTGTGTGCCATATAGTTACTCACTGCCTGCCTGCCAGCCAGCCACTGCATTTAAAGGCTTTTCCCAATTGGCTCTCCATGCAAGTGTGTGTTTATGTTTTTCGCTGCGCTTGCGGAAATTTAGAGGTGTTTGTATCCAAAGTACAATGAATACGATGAAATATATTCTTCACATAAATTAATCTCAAGGAATTGTTTGTGATTTCGCTTGATAAAGAATACCATCGAAGAAGATGCTTTTAATTAGACGTTTGATTATCGGTAGACAATTAAGTAAAGCTGTGTGCTCAAAGACTGAAAAAAACATTAGCAACGAGCGAGACTTCAATGAAAGCTGAAGAGAAAGGGATCGGTAAAAAAGATGCTGAAACAATTCACCAGCGCTTTATGCTAATATTCTTCCAGTCACTGTAACCCGATGGACGAATAACATCAGTGCAGTTTAACGATACGTAAAGTAAAAATTTAATTCGTTATGCAGTCTGAAAAAAACGTATAAACATCGGGCGCAGACGTATACAACCGAGGGCCGAATCCTACAACGAAGCTCAAAGAAATACAGCGCCGAGCATGCTAAAAACTATACACTCGCTGTGCACTCGAGCTTGCAAGCTCGTTTTGTGAATATTTATGGGTTATGTAAAATTACAGCAAGACAGGAACGCGCAGAACTTGAAATATCTTTATTTTCTCGGTGACTTTGTTTTTGGCTATATGTAAATGATT